ATTTATGAATTTTAATGAAAAAGTAAGCAAATACCATGTCACTGTTGTCACTCATTTTCTAACGGCTCTGTCTTAATTACCAAAAAAATGATCAATAAAAAACTGATTTGAATTAGTTTAAAGATCTAGGTAGGGGTTACAGAATTTTCAGAACTTCGTTACTTTAACTCTAAAACACAATTAAAAACTTTATAAGCTAGTTGTGGTTACTGTTTTCGGTAAAATCACCTGTCACACACCCCTCAGTCGAACGGTTGGTTCATTCTCTGCATGAATATGTGGCCAAATATGAGGAAATAACATCCAAAACGCCCACAAGGAGCTTTTGGAAAAATGGCGCAACACGCGCAGGTTGAGCAAAATTCGTAAATAGTGGGAACCAAAGGAGCTATTTCTCGCAGCATTTTCGTGTCTGGAGGATAACAACGGAGAAATGATACATTTTCACACATATTGTTAGAAAGCCCATTCAATGCACTTTTTTAAAATATATTTTCATATTTATCATAGGACCCAAATCTTGGAAGTTATGATGGAAAACAAACAGCGAGGTAATATTTTCGACCGCGTGAGCGGTGTGACCTGACCTCCCTAATTCCACTCGTGCACCAGCCTGAATCAGTCGTTTCCAGGAATGCAGTGACACATTACAACATTTTATTGCTGAATAGCNTGTTTTCCCCCTTCATAATTCATTTTTTTCCGATAGGCACATTGTCTGTATAATAATGTACAGTAAGGTGGTTGTTTACTGCTGATTCAGTATGATTATGAAGTAACCCATTTGTTATAATTTCCCCACTTGGTAGCTGCAGTTGAATAATATTCTGTTAATTTGGCATACCACAATAAGAAAAACACAGACAAGTCTTGCTGATTATTTTAAAGATAAACAGCTATGAATAAATGTACCAAGCTAGGGTGAGGACATCCCCTTTTTATATGACTCCAATCTACAAACAGAACTGATATTGTGAAATAAATCATGCTATGGTATTAAAATTTATAATTAAGTCTTTCAGATAAATCAGAAATAAAGCCTCTTCTCTCACCAAATGTATGTCTGATGTTGGTGGCCTGCATTTGAGGCGGTGCTTGTAGAAAACACGCCATTTTTTGTATTCTGCTGTTACAACTTCTAACTTCCTTTTCCAGTACTTGCCTTCCAGCACAACTGCCTGTTCAAATAAAATAAAAGAAAATCAAATATTATCTACCATAAAGTTTATGAACACTTTTTTATTTTCTTCAAAACTACCAGTCCTGTGGTGATGCAATTTTTTTCTTGTAATAAATCTTCAAAAGAGAGAAAAACAGCAATAAAAAGCACTAAATAAAGTCTAAACCACAAAGATAATTCATGGTTAACCAGTCTACCCAAGGTCACAAACTGCCATGCCGGTTTATGTACTACTTCCGAATCAAAGACCTGTGAGTCAACTCTTGGTGTAAGTAGTCATCTTTTCTTCTTTACCTTAATCTCAGAAGGGAGACATGTCACTTGCAGGTATGATAAAAAGGGCTTTTAAGGTCACAAGTGCACGCAAGTCAGCCAGAGTGCTATCTATTACACACACATATATTGGCCTAGGAACAGGTGCCCCTTAAAGGGATGCATACGAGTCTGTTTTTCAGTTTTGTCATGGCTATAAGACCTGTACCACATGTGTCGCCTTCAAGCACACACTTCATTCATATGCCCTCCGAAATGTTTACAAAATCAACCCAAATGCTGTCAAAACCAGTCTGTGTTCCAAAGTAGGGACCTGATAACTTTTACAACCTGTTATTTCCTTACAAGTGAAATTATTTACCAATTAAAAGGCATGAGATGATTTTTAAATAGGCAAACAAGTTTTGGGTATTCACAAATACCAATTGCCAAAATGATTCAAGAGTGACTTCTTCATATATCCATATGCACATTCTGTATTGACCATTAAATATTAAAACTGGTATATAAATGCAGTATAATATATTTTTTCAGCTCCATTTTCTATCTGGTTCTTTGTATCTTATGAGTTACTGAATCAGCTCAAAATGTACAATGAAAGAAATGTTTATTCTAAAATATGCCTTCAGCTTTACCATTACTAGTGGAGAGAGACTTGACTTATGGTCTTTCCTTTGATTATAGTGTAAATTACCTGTTCATTTTCAAAACAATGAACGTACACATCCGTTGTCATATCTGTGCTGCTCATTAATTCTATTTGTGCAGTTGATATTAAAATGAAGCAAATTATGTCTATGACAAGTCCTTAGCTAAAGAATTGTGTCCATGCACGGCAATATGTAAAGGACTACAACTGAGTCGATATCTCTCTAATTACTACAGTTCACAGCAGGGGCGTAACCAGATCCTTTAAAATTGTACGCACAGATTTTGAAAATTCCCAGGTACGATTATATTCCGTGAAAAATACACTGAATTTATGGAGAATAATATCATGGTTGGCTCAAAAAATTGTACGCACAGTGCATCCGTGCGTATGCCTGGTTACGCCCCTGCACAGGCCATACATATAAAATAGCATAATGTCTGTATTATATACACATCAAACAGCACTGATCAAATTCAAAGATCTGGTAGCAACCATATCTGATATGGTCATCAACAAGTACTGTAGACTAAATTTACAAAATCATACAGGGGAAACCCCTGACATGTGACCTCAGTTCCATTCAGAGTTACTCAGTGGACCAAGCTGTCCCATAATGGCTGAAGATCAAGTAACTGATCTGGTATCTCCAAGGACATACAGGTTATGACTTATGTCCAGTAACTCTTTTCAAACACAGCAACAAAGGAATTTATCTGCCTAAGTTCAGTGAGCAATGTGTATAAGGGCTTGAATGATACTATGACTGAAACAGATCTCAGATGAGTTAACTTTAGAAATGCAGCTGTCCCACTAGATACAAAAAATGGTAACGAGTTGAAATTTTAACAATAATCACCAAGCTGAATAAATATCATAAAACACACACACACACCCACACATAACAGGTTGGCCCTCACATTAGTGCTGTAAAGATGTCCAAAGCTAATGGAAGAAAACAACATGGCTGCATTCATATCACAGTTGATCCGCAGATCAAACATGACCGACCCTCTTGAAAACTAGCCCCATAATCCCTGTGGGGAATCTATTCAGTGACTATTGGGGGGATAATGTGGTTAGCTTTCAAGTGGGTCCCCAAATTTGATCCATAGATCTGTTAGAGCTCAGACTTTACGAAAGGCCAAAAAATCTGTCAGACATTCGGTCTGACATTCACAAGCTTGAAAATTCTGTCAGACCGAAACAAAATCTGTCAGACCGAAATAAAATAATAAAAATATGAACCATTATTCATCTTTTCATGTGTATTTTCTAACGTTTTAAATCATTGACATTAAATCAATTATTAAATTTTTGATATATATTTATTTGTAAAAAATTAAAATAAGAAAAAAAAATAGGCAAAAAATTACTTGCATAACAAGTTGCTTTTTATTTAATGAAAAAGATGCTGTGGAATGACACAAGGACTAAAAACAATACAAGTATGAAGAATGGGTAGCTACAGTAGTAATATCAAATGTATACATGTCCATAAAAACGTCTGTTAATCAGATAACCATTTCACACATTGTTTTTGGCAATAATATATGCATTTTGAAACAGCACAATTGAAGCTTTGACAGGGACTGTCCGGTCCAAGTCTAAGTTTCTTCTTCATTTTATTTCTTTTTCTATAAAAAGAAACTCAAACTGTGAGCTTTCATCAAGTTCATGTGCACTTTCTCCAACTAGTGGTGAACGGTACATGCAAATACGTACATATGTTCCATAATTTAAGAACCCGTAATAAAGCTGTAACATGTTGCTATTGATCAAAATGATAACTTTAGTACTCCTGACACTCGGCACACACTATTTTCCTCTCCTACAGATCATAAGTCCGCCAGGGCCTACCTTCTTTCCAATTTTAATAAACTTCCGTTTCTCTTCCTCACTTCATTTTCATTTTTGCCACGCTTTGCACCAACGAAGTGTTTAAAGTTCAACAACGTCATTTCTAAGCAAAAGGCTTATCCATGAGTACTATGTACGACTGATAATGAAGAAACAGAGGATCAAGTCTGTAAAAACGCAAATAGCACGAGCACGTGTTGCGGCCATTTTGTTGTGTAGGGGGTATTACGAAAACGAAAACGAGACTGTACATTACATCATTCAGGAATCCCCCAAACTCAGCCAGTCACAAAATAGTATTTGTGAGTGAAACTGAGGTTAATAAATTATGTATAATTACTTGGGAACTCCCCGAGATTTTCACCCCATCTCTCTTTTTGAATGAAGTAAAATATATCATCCAGAAAAGAAACAACAACGTATTCCTTATATTTACACATTCCCAGTCAGTTTGAAAACTCGCCGGACATAAGGTCCGACGATACAGGATTTTTTATTGGACCTAGATCTAGACGAAATTTGCCAGGCATGTCCGACGGTCCGACGCCTTTCGTAAAGTCTGAGAGCTCTTTCAGAACAGGGGAGTAACAGATGTGCGGGTCAAATATGAATGCTGGTTGAGTAATCCTCGCAGGAAATCTATTCAGTGTCTAATCCTGAATTAAGCGGCAAGGTTTTAGTGGGTCCCCATATTTGATCTGTGGANTGGGAACTCCCCGAGATTTTCACCCCATCTCACTTTTTGAATGAAGTAAAATATATCGTCCAGAAAAGAAACAACAACGTATTCCTTATATTTACACATTCCCAGTCAGTTTGAAAACTCGCCGGACATAAGGTCCGACGATACAGGATTTTTTATCGGACCTAGACGAAATTTGCCAGGCATGTCCGACGGTCCGATGCCTTTCGTAAAGTCTGGAATAGGCATTTGTATGTTTAGGTTTATTTAAATGAACAGGACATTTTCATACTTCGTTGTAAAAAAGTTGATGTCCTCTCCCATAAAAACAAAACTCATAAAATGAATGTAGATACCTGCCCAATAGCTTTACACTGATGAAGACGGATGTCCAGTTCAGACCTTTTGGCAGCCAAAATATGCCCCTCACTTTTTCATTGGCAAATGCGTTTCCTCTCTAAAATAAAAGAAAACGTATTATTCAAACTTATAGTTGATTTTTTACTTCTAATGGAGAGTGCATTTGACGTTTGTACGGTCATAAGGACTAAAGCGCAAACTTTTGGCTGAGATTGGCAATTGTAGCAACGTACCCTAAATATCTGTCTTCTCCATCTTCTACTGACCTCTCTGAACACCTGTCACCTGAATTACATAATAATGTACAGAATACCCTGTGGGAGCAGACGGCTAGCTCGCATGGCGGTTATCTAGGAAATTATTAGACTTGGCCTCGTTTTCAAAGAGGGGGGGGGGGGGGACAGCTTCAAGAGAAAGTAGCCCAGAGACCGGTAAGATGTAGAGGTGTTTATACAATGGCCTTTCGAGTTTTATACTAATAAACTTAACGAGACGGTATAGTATATATTTATGTAACATTTTATACACCAAGGAATATCCGTGCATCGATTTCACTGAATGTTCTCTTAGTTACTGGCGAGTAGCAAAATTGGGGTCCGCCATATAGATAAACGTCCCAATAAAATATTCGCCCCGATAGATACGTCTCTATACATACACGACTCAATAGATTTACGTCTCGTTAAATTTACGTTCCGATAGATCCACCAACAGATTCCTATAAACCCACGTATCTTTAGATCCAGGTACCGCTAGATCCATCTATCTGACATCGTAATCGGCTAAAAGGCCCATATCAACTTGCGTTGTGAAATTTAGAACACATTTTTATGTTCTTTTTTGTTTTGTTTTGTTTAGAACACATTTACATGTAAATTCAGAACACTTTTTACATGTTCGAATGTTACATTTTGAGAACACTTTAAACAGTGTTCTGACGCTAGACTTGGACCTAAATATGTACTTGGACCTACATAGAGGTAAAATTTCGAGACTAGAAATATTTTTCTATCGGATCATAGCTAAAGACAAGTATTCGACACCGCAGTTGTACAATTTTAAACACTCATTTTACGGCAACAAACACGATTGCCTTCACCATATTGGGCATTTTGAATTCCTCCATGAACAAACATACCTTATTCTCATCTAGCATCCAAAATAGCAAAAGAAATTGTACTTACATTTTATCTCTATAAGTGTTTTGACTCATCCACCCGAACGTTTTCCTCGCGTTATCACCAGCTACCTGTCCAAATGACACAAAAAGTCATCAACAGCCGCGATATGCTCGCTACCTGTACGGGAGGTCACGTGATCCGAACGCACATCGTTTCGCGAAGAGCTCGCGCTAAGCCGATTATCCTTTGATCTTTCTCCGCGTTACTTGTCCTTCTCTATTTAGGTCCAAGCGCTAGAACAGTAATTAAGCGTTGTGAAATATAGAACACACTTTTGTTCTTTTTATGTTCTTTCACTGAGTATTGTGTGAAAACGATCTAGTAGAATAATATATTGCTGACTGCGTACTGCCGTTTTAAAGAAGTGCATTTTATATACTGAGTAGTATACCAACCATTTCGAGCAATAGTGTACCTCTATCGGTATTTGGATCTAAAAATACGTGGATCTATAGGTATGCGGATTTAAAGGACGTGGGTTTATGAGGACGTCATATCTATAGGAACGCAAATATATAGGACAGCAGAAAAAAATCGGATCTATCGGTATTTAAATCTAAAAAGACGTTTTTTCCGTTTTTCCTTTATGTATCTATCGGTAACGGGAGTATAGGGACGTGTAATATTTTGGGACTAAATTTTATCCGTACGTACCCGCAAAATTGGTACTAGAAGTTGTGATACAGCATTGTAAACTAACCATATAGGCATGTTTTAAAATATATTAAACTTAAATTTGGCTTTAAACATGTTTACTTTTTTCCTGCGGGATGTGGGTGTGTGTGCAAATGTATTATGTTAATTTTGAGGGAAAAAAAACATAAACCCAAAATAAGTTTTATTGCAGCATTGGTTTGGCATTTTGAGTGGAATAGTGTCATAAAAATGGCAACACAGATGAATAATATGTGTGTTTGCATGTCTTGTCAGTAAATGATAGGCAAATAATCATTTAAGGGACTGTTGGTTTTGACCATTACGGAATTGTTTTTGACAGCAAAACTTTGGTTTTTAGTCTGGTTAGGTGCTCTTGAGGATATGGCAGCTAGCATGTGTGTTTTGTTATCATACCTTTATTTTCCATTTGTGTATTGCAAATTTAAACATGGGGAAAGCTTTGAAGGTACTGAAGGTCCAGAGGACCTGCACTTCATGTACTAGAAATTAATCTACAGGTCCTTATTCTGTGGAGGTCCTTCAGTCGCTTCTTACATATGATTCATTTCTCTCTCTCTCTTTCTCTCCTTTAGTTGATGTTTACATATGATTCATTTCTCTCTCTCTCTTTTTCTCTCTCTCTCTCACACACACACACACACACAGACCTACAAATGCATCACTTCGAAGTTAATTTGTGCCGGCCTTTAAAAGGAAATTACAGTTGTTCCACAAAAATAAAGAACATATAGTAAACACTCAATCTTTTTGATGGGCAAAAATTATCAAACATTCAGATACATCATTTCATAAGTACAATATTTATTCTTTATAGCATTTGTGGTACTTTTACTGCATAGAATATAACTATATAGAAGTATGTTTATAAATTTGATTGTACTTTTACTGCATAGAATATAACTATATAGAAGTATGTTTATAAATTTGATTGTACTTTTACTGCATAGAATATAACTATATAGAAGTATGTTTATAAATTTGATTGTACTTTTACTGCATAGAATATAACTATATAGAAGTATGTTTATAAATTTGATTGTACTTTTACTGCATAGAATATAACTATATAGAAGTATGTTTATAAATTTGATTGTACTTTTACTGCATAGAATATAACTATATAGAAGTATGTTTATAAATTTGATTGTACTTTTACTGCATAGAATATAACTATATAGAAGTATGTTTATAAATTTGATTGTACTTTTACTGCATAGAATATAACTATATAGAAGTATGTTTATAAATTTGATTGTACTTTTACTGCATAGAATATAACTATATAGAAGTATGTTTATAATTTTGTTTGTACCATCCCATAGGAATGATCTGATTTTTAGAAATTATGACTTTGAAAATACTGAATACAATATATGTAAAAATCACAACTTTTTCATATGGAAAAGATCAAGTAAATGTAATTACTGTATAATGGGAAGATGTAGATCGTCTGTAAAACTCATCTTTTAAAATTTATAATTATTGTACATTAAATGAAACAGGACCTTCAATGATTAGGGCATGATAGTGGGTACACCACAATTTGTAGTACCTCGACTTGCATGTGTTTTGTAACATTTTCAGGCCTTGATTCAAATTGGATTTTTAATTGAATGATGGGTGTGCCCAAAGTTCAATTCCAGATAAACTTTGTTTATCAATACTGTCATGAATTAAGTATAAATAGTGCAGTTTAAGGTAAAGATTGATTGTAAATGGTGCTGTTTAAGTTTACCTATTACAAATATTGCAATTTATTATTATTAATTTCAGTGCATGTGTATGTGTGTGTGTGTGCAATAAATGTAGTAAGAAATTTTTTTAGAGATATTCAATTGAAAACTCTGTTAATTTCTTCTAGGCTTGAATAGAATGTATAGGACCAGGATTAACCCTTTTGACCACTATCACAACCTCTGCAATACTTCTAAGAGATGAAAAAATATGTTCTTGAGCTGTGCTCTTGCTAATATTAATATTTATTGGTTATCAGTATATAGAAATGCAGTTTGTGTAATCATTTTAGGCTTTAACCACATGAAGTTAGTTAAAAGTGTAAGAGGTATATGCAACTAAACAATGCATTGTTTTATTTTTAATGTGCAAGTTTTTATATATATGTTGTTTACAGGCAAAATCAACTTATCAAAAATAAAACAAGTTTATTCAAATGCAAATATGGATTTTCAAGGTGCAAGTCACATCTTGGTCCTTGTAGCTGTTGACTCTCAGGGTGCAAGTCCTGGCCGGTCCTTATAGCTGTTGATTTTCAGGGTGCAAGTCTTGGTCCTTGTAGCTGTTGATTTTCAGGGTGAAAGTTTTAGTCCTTGTAATATATCTCCGCCTCTCACATGCTTCCCCATGCTCTGGTCGAATGGAGCCAAGACTAAATTATGATTTTATACACATATTAAACATGCACATGCATACACACACACTAACATGCACACGTACATACGAACAGTGTTGCTCAAGCAAGCTGGTCTTTAAAATACTAAATCTGGTCTTCATGAAAATAATTAATTTTTTTAATGAATAGACTTTGAATGAGTTTTCAATTCTGTATTTTTGCCCAAATCCTATTTGTACACAGATAGTTTCTATTCCATATTTTTGTCTTCAGGCGACATAAAAGACAGAAAGAGTATGTCAGATGCTGAGAGCATTAAAGAAAGAGGTAAGATGGTATACATCAATTTAACAGGCATTCATTTAACACACTTTAAAAATTTACTCACACAATAAGCAGACCCTCTTGCACAATTACTAAGTTAATTCACTGTTATCTGTTTTTATTGCATGTATATCTTTGAATATGTGATAGCCTTATTGTGGACAAGTATGGTTTCTTTTTTTTTTCTTCAGTTGATGTTAAAGACACAGCAGCTGTGACAGCAGACATGAAGGAGAGAGGTTAAGACAGCAGGGGCAATAGAATAGGGATCTATTTATTACACTGATGGAATGTGACTATGAATGTACACACACACACATACACACACACACACACGTGCATACACATTCCTTATGTTTTGCCAACACAGTTTGTGCTTTTTGCAAGTTTAAAATGATACTTGGCAAATTTGTTAACTCTAATTTTAAACAATGGTAAATATTTTGATGTAGTTTCATACATGAAATAAGATGCACTGACTGCTTATTGAAGGTTATTATTGCATATTAGTAAATAATACTGTCTCATATATTTCAGCTCCCAAGGACTGCTGCCAATCAAGGTGGAGGAAGTATTTTCAGATCTTGCTTCAGATGCAGGCCAAGCACATAAATGGTTATAATTATTATCATTCATTATTAAATCTAATCATTTCAGACATTAAGAAATGAAAAAAAAAATACAGTATTTATAAAAGAACAGATTCATTATACAGTCACAAGAAAGTTCTTTTCTTGTTTCCTTGCTTTAATGACATCATAACAAAGTTAACTTAAAGAGTTTTGGATGAAAACTTAGTCAAACAGCTGGTAAAACTGTACGTGAAAGCAGTAATTATATAATAGCAGCCAGGAGCTGGTGGTTGTAGAGTTACTGTCAACATCTTTTTACAGCTAACACACTTTAACTGAATTTTATTTTAACATTTTCATCTTTCATTTTTCACGGTTGTCAGTGCACATCTATTATTAGCTCTGTGGCAGCCAGTTTGAACACTTCAGAATATCATTTTCTTAAAATACCTTTATTTTACTGGTACAATAAAATATTGATTATATGTTATTATATGGGTTTTGTCTGTCTTTCTTTTCTAAATAAAAGAGAAAAATTTGCTAAAAGGTGATTTAATATTTATAAGTAGCTAGCAATGTTGAAGGGTGGGATGCTGAATGGGGGTTGTCATTATCCGAAAAAATGGATTTTCTTTACTCCTTCAGTTGATCCAACTTGGGATACATTACAGTAATGGTACCATGATAGGCTTTGGACCCTTTCCAGCAAAAAGGGCAGTTTTTTTCAAACCCACATCCTCGAATATGGGCCTAAACAAATAATTTGGCCTGTACACCATAAATGGATTTTGATTATAGTTCAAACAGTATGACTTTCTACCAAAATTTTTTTAATTTATAACTATATCCATATGTGACTTTCAAATAATGTTTTTTATTTTTATGAACTGTCCCTTAAAGTAGAGAATTTCCTTCACGGGGTTTTAATTTAAAATCTCTTCATCACTCAACTTAAAAAGAAATGACCACTGAAACAAAATCAAATCCAACTCTTGGTTACTGTCATGACAGGAAGTTTTATTACAAAGTGTGCCAGATGTTAACAGTGCTGAATACAGAGCCCTGACAGAAATGTCTATACATTATTATTATGTACTCCTTTAATGCACTCATGAAACATGCACATACAAATACTGGCTAATACATACCTTAACTTGTAAAGATAATGCTGCAGTAAATTAGGGACCACAGTTGTAGATGTCTATGTTTAAACACATTGAACAATTTGGAGAAGAATAAATACATGCCACGCCCATACAATGTAAATTGGCTAGTACAAGTGTAATTGTTCAAAAATGCAAC